CCCGCGCGCGCGCGCTCGTTTCAACCTGACGGGCAACCCGTTTGTCGCGTTGGAGCGTTAGTGCTCGCGCGACAAATGAGCTGCAGCCGAACGCGCTTGCTTGTTAAGCACCTGTTCGGCCCGTTCCCCCTGCGTCAACCCCCAGGACCCCAGGAGGCCGCCGCAGGCCGGTGCCCTGCGGGTTGTTTTTTTTCTTTGAAAAAAAAAAAAAAAAAAAAATGCACGGGGTGGTACCTGACAACGAAGACTACCACCCCGCACCTTCAGAAAACCCCCTCCCCCTCCCCGAGAGCGCGAAATAACGGTTCGCGGACCCCGTTCATTCGCGTCCAACGCGCGTTTGAATGGGGATTGAACGCGAATTGAACGCGTGTTCAATTTTTTAACGAGGACCCCGCGTTAAATCGGTTTTCGGACACACAGGATGCAGGTATGGAGTATAGCGCAGAGAAGTCAGATGCAGATGGGTTACTTAGTCAATCAGGCAGAAATAATTGTTCCGTTTTCTTTCTGTCGGGCTTAACTGGCCCTGTAGCTATTCATTATCAGTCTTGCACTGCCTTATACTTGCTCTCTGACGTGGCATATAGCCACTTCCCACATCGATCCTTGATCCCTGATGTCGGCACCCAGCCTGCCTATCGAGAGGGGTAGGAGAGAAGTCTACTCCTACTCGCAGAACACTGGACCACCTAATCTAGTGTGACCAGGCCCTGACACATCGCACTTGGGCCATCCAGACTTTAGGACGATCCAGATCCAGACTTCGACTTTAGACCAGATCAGCAGGAGTCACCTTCAGAGGGTCAGAGAGAGGGAAGGTAGGGGACACACACATGCATGCAGGTTCAAGGAAAGGAGGTGCTTCTCTCTTCTTGAAGATACCGCCGATGCTGCTCCACTATGCTCCGCACGCTCCAGGTAAGTAACTCTCACCTCTTCTTCTTCGGTTGCTTCCCCCACTATCGACACTTCTTCTCCTCCTCCCTCCTTCACTACTCCTCCATCACCTCATCTTCTCTCCGGCCTTGATCATGCCAGCGCTATGAGTGTAGCGAGCATCTGCTCCGATACCAAAATTTTGCATGAGTCCTGGGGACCATCTCACGCAAGTGTGTACATGCCATGCATCATACTCGCACACAATGATAAGTAGTCTCACACAATAGACAAAGGTAGATGAGAAGAGAACCGAGTTTCACCACTTATATTATCAGAAATATGATTACAAAGAGTTTCAAAGATCCTTGAGTCCAGCGCTCATCAGCRCAATACACAACCCTTGGCAACTCATCAATRTGGCTTCCAATACATCAGCGCTACTTCTGCAGRTAGTCTCCAAGTCATCAAGGTGGTCACCACCCATCAGCGCCACCCTCTGCAGTCACATTCAACTCARGTAAGTATCTYCCATAGCCAACCCTTGAGTGACCACTCTCTGCCTCAGTTCCTTCTTCCTACGATGCATACACACTCTTCACCCATGAGGATCTACTCTGAATACTACTCATAGTTGTCTGCTACTAACATTCTACTACTAGTACTGATTCGTTGAGAAGCTATGGCTGCATCACTTCCAGCGCACAGGCTTCTTTCCTCACTCTGCGCATCTTCCTCCTCCAGCGCTGCTCCTCCTGACTTGGCGCACAAGTGCACCAGCACTTCCACGCAGAACTGGCCAATGAAGATCTGGCGAGGAATGAGGCTGGCTGCTTCTTTTATAATGCTGGCCTCTCCTCGCTGGGTCTGCATTTGGCTACTTCGGCCTTCCTTTGTCCCAGACCTTGCATTGTACGTGTCCCAGTATAGTTCCAATGAAGTTCAACTGCTGCTGAGGCCTTTTGGCCTAGATTTGGAGTTGAAAGTCTGGATCTGGACTATCCCCTTGACTTAGACCAGAATTGGGACTCTATCTATTGACTTACTTTTGGACAGGCACACCTTTAGACGAACAGACACACTCACTGTCTGAATAGACACTCTCAAAGTACTCTTCTGTGCAGGAATAGGTGCACTGACTGCACGTACAAACACACCCTATGTCGAACAGAGATGAAGTGCACATCTCCTGGTGAACAGGTAAGTCTCTTAACAATGCCCTTTGCTTTAGATTTAGATGTGCCCGTTGGTAGAGGACTTGACTTTTGACCTGCTTTCACGTTTCTGAGCCCTGGCGAGATACCCTTTCACGCTGCTTTACTTTTACAAGGCCTGAGGCCTGCATCGGGTAAAGACCCCTTTTACTCTCGCCGACCTAGTTTCGAAGTCCTCTGAAAATCATTTACCTATTAAGGATATTCCTCTTTTTGCGCTTTCATATGCAAACACAATATGAGGTGCAGAGTCTAATAGTTCTTCTTGTGTGAACCAACGATCTTCACTGGGATCCTGGTATGCAAACCTCACCTTATATTGTCGTTGTGGTCTGCCCCTACATCCAGTATGGTAGGTACTTTCTGCAACAATTTTATCCACGTCATACTTTCCATCCATACTTGGAGGTATCGCTGATCGGCGACTTGAAAAGAGCTCATTTGTTACACAAGGTAAGAGCTTGGACGCATGGAACACTGGATACGTACGTAGATGTAGAGGAATTTAAACAACATACGAAGGACCATCCACATCTCCAATCACATCTAAAATTTGCCAAGGTCCTCCGTAGGCAGGTAAAAGCTTTTGAGAGATGTTTTCTTTAGGAGCAAACTCTTTAGACTTCACCCAAACCAAATTTCCTACAACAAATTGAGATGGTCGTCTGTTTTTATTTGCCTGTTCAATCATTTGATGTTGTGCTTTGAGTGTGTTTTCCTTTACCTTCTCAATATCTTTTGATACTGTACTGCAAACTCACTAGGAGGACGCCATCCCTAAATGGGTCTACGAGGAATGGGTCTACGAGGACACCATCCCTGATATAACTCCATAGGAGTCTTACACGTAGATAGATGTACAAAGTTACTGTAGGGAATAGCAACTTTAGGCAGATGTTCATCCCAGTCAATCTGATCGGGACGAATGTACATGCGCACAGTTTGTTGCAATATCTTATTCATCTGATTTGTCTGGCCATTGGTCTCAGGATGCCTACCTGAGGACATAGTCAGTTTAGAGCCATACACATTCATTAGTTGCTGTCATTTTTCACTCGTGAACCGTGTGTCTTGGTCACTTACAATAGTTAAGGGATGTCCAAAGTCTTTCACCCAATGGTTAAAGAACTCCCGAATAACCAGATCCGTTTTTCCTTCCGAAGGTAAGGCTACAAGAACAGCATACTTAGTGAATCTATCCACTGTGACCATTACTTGCGTTTTCCCATTTCTGCTTTTCACCTGAGTATCCACGAAATCTATACTTAGTGAATCTATAGGAGACAGAGTCTCCAGGACCTATAAGGATAGGCAATGGCTTAAGTAGCCCAAGGGGCGATTGCGTGGTGCTTTTGTTTCGTTGGCATACTTGGCAACCTTGCACATACGCGATAAAGTCTGCCTTCATTCGAGGCCAGGTGTAAGAAAGCAAAAAAGTCTCATAGGTCTTCTTCCACCTAAAATGGCCTTCGGTATCATGGCATTCCCCCAAGATCATACTTTTGATCTTCTCATTATTGGGTATACACAACCTATCATTTACATCAGTTCGTTCAAATATCAGACCCTGAGTTATCTTATGATCGGGAAACTCTGATGGCTTTTCTTGCACTAGCTTAAACATGGTTCCATAAACAGGATCAGAGGAATACGCATTCCTAATTCTTTCTTGTAGGTCAACACCCACATCTAAATAAGTGACAATAGCACCGAAAAAGTCTGATCAATGACTTAGTGCATTAGCAACAACGTTATATTTACCCTTTACTTACTTTAACTCAAAGTCAAACATATCAATCTCCGCAGCCCACCTTGTCAACTTAGGTGTCATTCGAGCTTGCGTTTTGAGCCAGCGAAGCCTTTCATGGTCTGAGTATACCTTAAAATGTCTTCCCAAAAGATAGTGTCGCTAATGGTTGAGAGCCTCACGAAGAGCATATAACTCTCTTTCATACGTCGAAGCGACCACTTTTTCGTTAGGTAATCGGCAAGACATAAACTCCACAAGTCTGTATCCATGCCCATCATCTTGCTGGAGTACAGCACCTATACCATATTGACTAGCATCAGTTGTGACCACAAAAGGTAAGGAAGGGCTTACCACCTTTAGAACCGGATAG